ATGGAGCGTTAGCTTTTTTTCTTTTTTCCTTTTCTTTTTAGTGTGATTATAACTGAGACCTCATGTCATTTTTCTGAGATTTAAGAGCCCAGGTCTGAAAGTCACCTAACTGTCCAGTTCTATAGGAGGCCTTGTGTGTGTGTCTGCGCCTGGTTTTCATCATCTGTGAGGAAGTTTTCTAGCTCATCAGACATTTCAGCAGGAAAAGAAACCAAGTGGATTTAGAGAGAATCCACATCATGGTTTAGAAAACAAATCAAAATCATGACAGTGGAAGGGCTGCTGAGGGAACGGGGAACACTTACCCTGAGAAGCCCCAGGAAAGACTCAGAGACGTTAAGTGCTCGAGCTGGAAAGAAACTTAGAGAAGATCGAAGGATTTCCTTTAATAGGTAAGAAGTGGGACGAGATGACCTCGGAGGCTCCAGTGTTCTGCAAAGCTCTATTCCCATTTGCAGTTGATTGACAGAAAAGGAAACTCGTGTTAATTCATCTTTCATGCTCTCAACTGAGAATGATCTTATAGTTCGGGCTTTTAAATAAAAATATTATGCTGCTCTGCTTTTACAGAGTCACAGTGTAAAAAGCATTGTCAGTTCTGTTGCTCAGTATTTCTCATTCACAAATTCTTCAGATAAAATCCAGGCACTCTTGGGTACCACTTTTTATTGGCAAGTTGCCTTTCTTGCCTTGTTTAACAGGGAAGTTAGAGCCAGATGTGTTCCTCATCTGAAGTAAATAATGCAAACCAGGGGCTTGGTATATCGATTTCCCCACTTTTTTTAAAGTGCCTAGAAGAGTGCCTGGTTATATTAGATGCTCTTAAATATTTGTTTAATTAATGAAGATCCTGAAGAGTAGAATATTGTATCACTCAAGAGTCTGGTGATTGCTGGGGGAGGGTTGGGGGAGAGGTGGAGGAGGGTATAGGGGATAAATGGTGATGGACGGAGACTTGTCTTTGGGTGGTGAACACACACAACTCAGTGTACAGATGATGTGTTGTAGAATTGTACACCTGAAGTCTGAATACTTTTGTGGATGAGTGTCACCCTAATTCAATAAAAAGGAGAAGAAAATTAAAAAAATACTAGCTTTGAAGAATATTAAATTATATAGGAAATATTAATGATATAATCAAGTGACGGGTAAGGTCGCAAAATTGTGTATACACACCATGGTTCCAGCTCAGTAAAATATGTAAATTTTGTTTGTGTGTTTATTACACAATATTATACAATACCACAACAATCTGAACAGTGGTTATTTCTGAGTTATGCTAAATGTGATATTTCATTTTTTAGACTTGATATTTTTCTTACCTTTTCTGACAGCATGGATGGACCTGGAGAGCATTATGCTAAGTGAAATAAGCCAGTCAGAGAAAGTCAAATACCATACAATTCCACTTACCTGTGGAATCTAATGAACAAAATAAACAAAATAGAAGCAGACTCATAGATACAGACTGGCAGCTGTGAGAGGGAAGTGGGGTTGGGAGACTAAAATAGATAAAAAGATGAGCCAAAAAAAAAAAAAAACCCAACAACAACTCATAGACACAGACAACAGTATGATGATTACCAGACGGAAGGGGGTGGGGGGAGGTAGGAGAAGGTAAAGGGGGGATGAATGGTGACGGAAGGAGACTTGACTTGGGGTGGTGAGCACACAGTACAATATACAGATAGTATATTAGAGAAGTGTACCTCTGAAACCTATATGGCCCTGTTAACTAATGTTACCCCAATAAATTCAATTAAAATTTAAAAATAAAAAGATATTTAAAAAATATTCTATAATGAGTTAATATTATAATTTAATCTTTAATGAAATTAAAGCATATGAAGAGTTCAAAATCTCAAAAATTATAATAGCATATTCACAGATATTAATCTCTTGCTTATTCTCCCTTTTTCTTGCTGCACAAAGCTAACTGCTTTCAAATATTTTTGCTCTAACAGAAAGAAGTAGTAAATCTCAGTAGCCCTGTATGTGTTAAATTGTGGAGCTGCAAAATAATAGGGATATAGAAATACAATCACATAAAATTTAGGCATTTATTTTCACCAGGAAAGAAATAGAAAAAGCTGATAAGGAAGGAAGGGTAGTCATCTATCGACACCATTTATATAATAATATAAAATTAAGTATTCTTTCACCAAAAAATGTGATATAACTCAATTGGGATGACTGGGGAGAAAGGGTGGGTGAGTGTTACAGAAAACCAACGTATAATGGCTGAGATGTAAAAAAAAAATGAAGGAATTGCAAAAAGAAATAGTTATTTAGAAATGCGTTAGCAAAGAAAAAAACAGCTAGCAAATTTAAAAGCAGTTTCTTTTTTAAGTTTTCTTACATTCTTTGAAAGTTGTAAAAGGAACACACACCTGTGGTTAAAAAACAAATCAGATGGCATCATTTGCCATGCCATTCTTGCTGACTTAGATCTGCGCTTATTTTTTTTACCTAGCTTGTACTGTGTATGTTTTAATATTGTGAGCTAGCTAAAAGTCATCTTGGAAGTAAACCGGCATATTAGTTTTAACAAGAATTGCATTCCTAACATCTAGAAATTAGGTTTACATCGACTTGACCATATATTCCAGCTTCTTACTGCTGTCACCAAAGGTCAAGTATGGTTCTGCAGGGCGCTGTTCTGGGTCTGGCAGAAGTAAGGCCTGCTTGAGTGTTGTTGGTAGGGTGATAATATGGGTGTAATAATTTATAGTTTTAATTTTTAATTTTGACATTTCACTTAAAATGTCATAGGGTGTGCTTGAGTGTGATATTGTCACGGTACAGGATTACATGCTTATGATTTTGTAATAAAAGGGTTTGTAATAAAAAAAAAGAGGCGTTATTTGTGCCGGACCCCATATATTGGATTGCTCCTGTTGTGTTTTAAACTCGTAACCAGTAAACTCTCCCTTCTGATCTTCTGCAGCCTCATCCCAATGTCTCCTAGTCATTTTAACGTTTTCCTTCTGTCTCTCCCCATACTAATTTGTGCTCCATCCAAGTTATGTTCCTTTTCTTACTACACTTGTTTTAACCTTTGAGGCCCATAATGTCATTTAGTGTTTCTCATTGTCACTTAGAATAAGGTGTTCACTGGGCTCCGCTTCGTAGGAACAACAGACGAATGCCTTCCTTGCTTCAGGGAATGCAGCCTCAAGTGCGGTGTAAACCCATCTGACCCATCCGCGTTTCATTGTGTCACATGGGCCTCCGAGCCTGGCACCTGGCACCTGGCCACCTTGGCCTCTCTCCTACCTGCCCTGAGTATGCACCTTGACAAGGGAGATGAAGGGCTTTTTTTTTTTTTTCCCCAGAGTTCTGGGGATTTTCATTTTTAAGTAATCTGACACTGATTTCTTAAGGATCCTGGTTTCAAGAGGGTTTTTTTTTAACACTTTCTTTATTTTTAGAGAGAGGGGAAGGGAGGGAGAAAGAGAGGGAGAGAAACATCAAAGTGTGGTTGCGTCTCACACACTCCCTACCAGGGACCTGACCTGCAACCGAGGCATGTGTCCTGACTGGGAATCGAACCAGGGACTCTTTGGTTCTCAGGCTGGCACTCAACCCACTGAGCCACACCAGCCAGGGCAAGAAGTTTTAAAAGTCGATGGGCATTTCACTCTCCACAGTTTGACTATATTTCATTATCTTAACTGGGCCTGCACATGGGGAAATAGTTTGTTTTCCCTGACAGCTTCCAGCTGAGCCCCAGAACCCTCATTGCAAGTAGATGTCTAAGTCTTGGAGTAGTTCTGGGAAATTCGCAGGGCTGTGCATGCACAAGTGTTCGTGGGAATATGAATAAGACAGTCAGAGCCTAGGTTGCAAGTAGAAAAACACAAATGTCTCACCAAGCTCACCCATTTGTGGGGACCCGCCTGTGAGGAGAGACCTAGCGGATGAGGAAAGCAGACACGCTCATGCAGCTGAGTGTGTCCCCTGAGCGGGAACGCAGGTGTGAAGGCCCAGCTTCACCAGAGCCAAAGTTGGCAGTGCCTCCTGAAGGCTTGAGCCTGCAGCTTCACTTGAAATTTGCTTTAAATCCATCCCGTCCCTCACTAACCCAGTACATGTGAGGTTGGATTCATGTTCCTAAGTCTTTCTTGATGTGTCACTTTCCTACTCTCAGATCTTCAGGGGCCTCCCCAGATTTACCCAGGACCTCTTATTTCCAACCTCATTTCCTGTGACTCCCACTGCAACCAAGCTGATAGCCTGGCTATCCTTTTTCTAAAGCCAGCATGGTATATGTCCCTCCCCACCTTCACCCACCGTCCCCTCCTCAGGCTCTTCCTCTACGTGTCTGGTCACACACCTGGGTTCTATGCCACGTTAGCTGTGTGGCCTACATCAAGTGACTCTTTTCTCTGAGCCTCTCTTTCCATATACGTATATATGAGACAGACAGACAGACAGACAGACAGAACTAGAAGACTTCTTCATGGGGTCTCTTTCAATGATATCATCATGCGGGTCCGATTCTGCCTTAGCTTTGTCCTTGGCTGCCCTAGGACACAGGGTCCTTGTCTCTTTGATGTCTCTACAGCATTGAATAGGATGCTATGCCATTCATTGTTTGGGATTGTGGTTAACATTTTTTATGTCCCGTCTTCAACTGCTTTTTAGCGGATGTGTTTGTAAACTGAGAAAGCCCCTTAGTAGAGCTCATTCTTTGCCTAGGATGTGGGTGAGGGAGAGGACTATTGAGCATGTTCTACTGCCTAGAAGCTGAGGAGAGATGGGAGTTGAGTAAGCTTTTCCCTTAGGCCCCTCAATGGGAGGATGAAATGTCTTTTTGCAAACAGGGCGCATACTCGCATCGGGACTGACAAGAGAATTCCTTCTGGGCTGCTGGGAGGCTGCTGCACCTGCGCCTGTGCTGACTCTTGGGCTGGCCTTCCAATGCCATCCTTTCAGCATGCCGGCCTCCTGCCATTTAGGGTTGGGACGATCCCTTCATCTGTCACTGTGCATTTCAGGGCCCTGTTTGATTATGACCGGACTCGGGACAGCTGCCTGCCAAGCCAGGGGCTCAGCTTCTCCTATGGTGACATCCTGCATGTCATTAATGCCTCTGATGATGAGTGGTGGCAGGCAAGGCTGGTGACCCCACATGGAGAAAGCGAGCAAATTGGTGTGATCCCCAGTAAGAAGAGGTGAGTTGCTGTGATCATGAGGGAGGCCTTCCTCACCCTCTCCTTGGTACTGATTTCTTTTTCTCTTTTGTTTCTTTCTCTTCCTCCCCAGCCCCCAACCGATTATCCTGTAAATTTTCTTGAGAGCAGGGGATATGCTTTGTTGTCCCTTTTTGGTAGAGAGTTGGTGCTCAGGACATGGTTATGACCCACTGAGCCAAAAAAGTAGCCACTGGGCCTGCTGCAACCCACTGCTGAGACTATGCACTGGCAGTAATAGGACTTGTTTCTGACCCCAAAACAGGGTGGAAAAGAAAGAAAGAGCTCGATTGAAAACCGTGAAGTTCCATGCCAGGACGGGGATGATTGAGTCTAACAGGGTAAGTGGGGATCCCCAAGGAAGTCGGCCAGTCTGTGAAGAGGAGTCAGAAGCTCACAGTCTGTGTGGTGGATAAGAGAACTGGGGACCACCAAAGAATCCCTGTTTCTCAGGGGGCTGGCTCTGTCCTGTCAGCACACTGACTGCCTTTCCAAGAGCAGAGAGGGCGCTGAACCTCTCTGGCTGGCCAGTGCCCCTTCCCCCTCGGTAACTGGCTGTTGAAGATATGGTGGAGTCAGACTGTCTGCAAGGCTGACTGGCTCCAGGCACGTGAAACCACAGTGGGTATCTCCCTGGCCGCAGACTCTGTTGGAGCTGTAGGGACCCTGAACCGAATCTGGCCTCGCCATCCAGCCGGGGATGGCAGCCCCAGAGCTCGGACTGGCTGCCCTTCAGACAAAATGAGGCACGAGGTCTCTTGCCATTCACCCCTGTTCTTCCGTGAGCTTCGCAGGCCAAAGAAGTTCTCCGGCGCGGTAGAGGGAAGAGAGACACGGAGTAGGTGACTCTGTGTTATCAGTGGCACCTTAGGGCATGTGTCCAGGACGCTACAGTGACCCTTGTGCTTTAGGAAGTACCAGTGAGTGCTGTGAGTCCGCATTAGGTAGAACCCTCTAACATCCCCACAACATTTTCCTGTAAACATAATTTTCCTCTCACATCAACTTTCATTTAATCTCATAGACTCCATTTGTGAAAAATGGTCTTTTATTTAGCTCACCATTGTCTCCATTTTAGTTTTTCTTGCATGCTTTAAAATCCATTGTTCTGTTTTTTTTTCTTCTGTCCTTCCCCTCCATCTTCATGTTCTTTCACAGTCGATCAAAACGAAACGTAAAAAGAGTTTCCGCCTCTCTCGAAAGTTTCCATTTTACAAGAGCAAAGAAAACATGGCCCAGGAGAGCAGCATACAGGAACGTAAGTAGCAGCAGGGCACAGAGAGCAGCCGGCGCACCGCCCCGCCCTCTTCCTCATCGGCACCTCCCCTCAGGAGAGGACTGGGAAAGCGTGTGTGTGCTGCTGTGTCCATGTGTGCATGCGCGCGCGCGCCCCTGCTTGTTGGCAGAGTCAGGGTAGAAATGGTTCTGCACAGGGAGACGCTGGGGCTTTTTGGCCAGCTCCTCACTCTGAAAGGGTGTTGGAGGCTCAGAGTGGAACTGGTTCCCGGGCTGGCCTCCTAGGAAGCCCCGGGCGCTGGTGTGGGAAGTGCCAGGCTGAGCTCTGCCGTGCTGGCGACGAGCAGTTCTCGGCCATAACGTCAAGGTTTGTGAAACTGGATTTTGAAGAGAACCAGGTCTAGGGACTCAGGGTTGCTCTCCTGGCTTCCTCCTCTTGTGTTTTCTTTCCCTTAACTTCACTCATCTGTGTCAAGAGAAGAGCCTTTTCTTCGCTGGATGCCTGGAGTCAGGCTTGCTTCTTGAATCACACACACGTGCCTCTGCACACAGGATGTGCACAGGGCTCTCACAGACCCCGTGTCATCCCAGAGTGATTACATACAGAGCCCGGTTTTGGGATAAAGTCCCTCCTCCTGAAGCACTTGACCCAGGAGGAAGATTACTCAGCATTGTCCAAATAAAGATTTATTGAGAAACACAAAGCTCCTTTGGCAGTAGAGGCCATATTGCTGTGCTAAATGAGCTTTTTATGAACCAATTTAATTCTGAGAAGTGGTCATATGCCTCAGAAATTTATCGCTCTGACCTAACCTTCAATACCAGGTCAGGCTGGAGAAATAGTTCTCACGTGGCTCATGGTGAACGTAAACCTCTCTTCTGCCTCACAAGGAGGGGTCTTGGGATCCTGGACTATCGGGACTGGCTGGAGACTGGCTAGTTGTGATAGGAAGTGTCCTTTTTCTAGGCCAGCCTGACTCACGGGCATGATACGTATAGGTCATTGCCGTCTGTGGTGCTCGCTAGTAGACACAAGAATACCCTCGCCCAGATGCAGGTTAGGCTCACTGTCCTGGGCAGTGCAGTCAGAAGCACTAGGCATAGCTGGCTCTGCCGGTGAGCAGTAGGAGACAGTCACCACAATTCACCAGATGAGTCCCAGAACCTCCACGCTGAGCTTGGAAGAGTGCGCTGCCGGTGGCCCAGCTGGCAGTGCTCATCCTCTGGAAGCTGAGCTCATCCCCTGTGGTCCACACAAGTCAGTCAGCCATGAAGGCCCCACCTCAGACTGCATTGAAGCTTCCCCCTAAGGCTTTGGACAGAGTGAATCAGTATTGGGGGAAGCTCCTTGGGGCAATGACAGTTCTGCCTGCCTACCCGCCTCACGTAGGGGTTTGTCCTTTCCTGCACCCGCGGCGGAAAGCAGTGACTTCAGGGGCAAAGCAGAGACCTTTGCTCTGTAACTACAAATTCAGTCAAAGCGCATGCTCCACATCTTGGGGAGTCGCCTGCCCTGTCGGCCTATAGGCTGTAGACCACCTCAGAAAGGTTGTCCACTTCAGGGCCTTCTGGCAGCCAGTTGGGCCCACAGGAAATCCAGGTATCTGACCTGGGATGTTCTTTCTGTAGCAGAGTTCTTAACCTCACTGTAGCTGTAGGTCTTCATAGTATTTCATACTTCTGTCACTAATGCTCACCTGGCTCTGTATTCTTCCTTCCCCTGTCTTTTTTCTCTCTTTTCTCTGTTCTTCCCAATTCCCTCCGTCCCTCCCTCCCCCACCCCTCCCTCCCTTCTTTCCTCCCTCCCTCATCCTTTGTCCTTGCTGTCTGTGAAATCAGGACTTCCCTGGGTTAAGTGACGATTATTATGGAGCAAAGAACCTGAGTAAGTCAAACTTACACACCATTAACTGTGTTTTTGGCATGAGTGGAGGTGCTGGGGTTGGGGTTGTATGGGGCATGGGTGAGGGCAAAGGGTGAGGGGAGGACCGTGTTTCTGGGAACTCCAGTACCACAGCCGGAGGAAGTACGAGTGGCTATGAATGTCACACTTTGGCTCTGGATTCCTGCTACCCTAATAAAAGCCTCTCCTTCATGTCTGTGTTTTCCTCTTGTGCCCTGACGTGGTGGCGAGTCCACCACGTGGCATCCCACCTTATAAGTGAGGTGGGCAGAAAGTGCTTCTCCAGGGTGACCGCTCAGTTCATCTCTAGCATATTGTTGAGGTGAGGGGCACCCGCTGGTTGGAGTCTTCTCCCAGTGACCCAGCACTAAAGAATCAGGCTTTAGAATGAGCTCTTTCAGTCCCTCAAACTAGGGGCAGGAGGACTGTGAAGCCCTTTACCCAGCGTGCATCTGGGATCTCCCAGCAGGTCCAGGGACATCAGCAAATAAATGCAGGCCAGCTTCCGCAGAGCGCCTTGAAGGGGCTGAGCTGGCATTTGTGGACCGTATCTACGTAGGGCTTTAGCTCAGGAAACCCCAGGCTGACTTCTTTTCTCTGACACTAATCCCGGAGTGGAAAATGATGGGACCTAGGTGACAGGGCCTTAGTGTCCCCACTACACAGGTGCACATACATGTGGCCATGCCAGGCGGCTTCTCTCAGCCCATGTTCTCCTTCAATAAGTACTAAAGGCATGAAGGTAAAACCACTTCCTCGGGCAGGGGGTGAGGTTGCTCAGGAACCAGCCATGGGTGGTAACTCAGCCAGTCCTTCCTTGGGGGGCCACAGCATATCACGGTCTGCAACAGTGTCATCTTGGCTGAAACGAGCAGTGTCTCTCTCCATAGTCTGTTGTGTTCATGTTTCATCTTCATTTGCCTGTTGTCTGGGGAGCGCAGGGTTCTGTTCGGGCCACACTGTGCCTGGCGCCTCCTGCGAGTGTGGCTGTGCCCACGCCCAGGTGTGGGCGGGCCCCAAGGGTCTGAGCAGGGAGGGCCAACCGGTCCTCCAAGTGGTGTTTGTTGTCTGTGTTGTGACACGTCTGTCTTCTGGTGGATGGGGGCCATGCCATCCTAGGTAGTGGTGGCAGGAGGGCTGTGGGTCCCACCATTGCTGCTTTGTGACTGCTCAGCCTGGCCAGTGCTCGGCCTCGTAGTTTGGCAGCACCATGCAGTTGTGTGCTTCGGGGCATCTGGGAGGGAAATTCAACAGCAGCCCAGTCCCTGGACTTTTCTTTGCTACTGTCTCTGCTTCTCCTTTCCTATCAGTAGCCTTGGGAGATGCATTTTGACAGGATTTGGAAGCCATCCAGTGTCAGTTTGGATTCAGATGAGGAGGATGCTGCCCAAGAGTGGGAGGCTTGTCGCGTATAGGGAGGGACTTGGCAGATCAAGAGGGCTCTGGGGACTAGGGTGAGGTAGCCAGCGGCTCAAGATTTTAGTCATGCCTCCCGCTTGGTAGTCTGGATGTGGCAGGTCTCCTGTGGCCTGACGTGGTGGACAGCTCAGTGTCTCGCTCCTGGAGCATCTGAGTTTCGTGCCGCGTGTGACCTCTCAGTGGTGTGTTCTGAATCGGAGTCTCTTTCTTGTTGGCTTGCAGAGGGAGTGACATCCAACACCAGTGACAGCGAAAGCAGTTCCAGTAAGTGTGTGTCATTCTCCCCCATGTCATGTCGCTCCACCACGTGTCCCTGCCACCCTCATCCCAGCATTGCACAGCTGCCGTCTCTGTGTGGAGGCTGGTGCTTCTTTCAGCCATGCACACGTTCAGAGCCTGGACATGCTGTCGCCATTCGGTCCTTCTGGGACGGGGCTTAGGCCGTGGATTAAAGGAGGGTAGAGGCCCTGCAGTCCTGGCTGGAATTCGACTTAAAATCCTCCCTGGGGCCCCGGAAAGGGTGAGCTGCCAGCAAGTAAAGCTCTGCCACAGGCATCATGGGCTGTAGGTGCTGCCAGTTCTACAGATTTGCTCAAAGACCAAAAGAAAAATGGCTCCTGTGGACGTTGTCCTGAATTGCCTTGCCAGGTCACCACGACCTCGTGGACTGAGGCTGGGTGTCCTGGCCTTTTAGCCAGGTTAAATGATCGGGTAACTGCCCCGCTTTCCCTCAGAGATCTTGTGACGAAGCCAGAGAAGCCACAGCGCAAACCCCATGAACTTGGGAGCACTGGCCTCTCGGCAGTCGCAGCCGGAGGCCTTTGGCTCAGCGGAAGCCTGTGAGCGGGTTTCCTGGGCTTGAGGCAAACATCGCCAACTTCCCTGGCACTGCCGCCCCCTTCTTTGGGACCTCCAGGCACCTAGCACAGAGTGGCTTGGCAACCATTTTAGGAAAAGCCCATCATTGCTAGGGTGCATGGAGCTCCACCGGAAGGAGAGAGCAGGCTTGAGCATTGCTCTTAAAGGGCACTGGGGACCTTACTTAGTCCAGCCTTGTGCCACTTTTCTGGGTGCTTGTTCTAGGGAAAGGGGAGTAGATAGACCCTTTAAAGGCCAAAGCGAGGCTGCAGCTCTGGGGACCTGCAGGAGCGTCCTGACTCCCCGGCCTGCAGACAAGGGGACAAGGGTATTGTTATCTCGACCAGTTGAGGCCTCCCTGTAATTCTCACCAGAGCACGAGGGCAACTGAGCACAGCTGACTGTTACCTGTGAGAACAGTTCCTGAAAAATTGGGGAGCTTTCTGGGGCAGGCTTCGTGATTTCTGGGTCATGTCCCTTTGCTCAGCTATATTTTGCTGAATAAGAGCACTGCTGGCTCCTGTCCTGGGGCGCTGAGGACTTCCTGTACCTTTTGGCCAATGGGAAGCAGACAGGCCCACGAGGCAGGTGTGAGCAGGCACAACCCGCCCAGGCTGTTGCTGGCACAGGTGGGACTGAGGTGAATGGTGGAAGACGAGGACATGGAAGCAGATGAGGAAGTGCTAACATGTCTCCTTTTTTGTTGCAGAAGGACAAGAGGATGCTATTTTGTCATATGAGCCAGTGACTCGGCAAGAAAGTAAGCCCTTTTCTGAGAGTGTTGTCCCCCAGCCAGTGTAGCGGTCATGGGGTTCAACGCAGGGGTGGCTGTGGTGGCAGAGGGAAGAATGTGGGGGAGCAGGAAAGGGGCGTGCAGCCCCCGGGTGCCTCTTCCTCTTTCCCTTCTTCCCAGTGTCAGAGACGGGGTGGCCTCCTGGTGCACTCCCCCTGCCCCGCCTGTGCTCGCTGCCAGGGTGTCTTCTGAAGGCTAGGGCAGGTTTACAGGGGTAACAGAGGGCGAATTCAGTGGCTGTAGCTGCTGCTAAAAGGGAGGTTCTGGTCGCCTCCCTTTCGGTGGCTGCTCTGAAAAAAACCTTGCTCAGCTGCTGGTGCCCATGCAGAGATTTCTCCTGAATCTTCTGGAAGGAGAGATGCTTCAGGTTTCAGATTTGCCTCAGGCTTAGATATTCTCAATGTAAAGGCTCTTTGATGTCTTTGTAGTTAAAAGCCAGCAAATGGCTGGCGACATTCCGCCCTGAGAGCTGGCTCGGAGCCTCAGGACGCTGGGCAGACTGGCAGGTAGAACAAGCCTCCGTTGGGGACCTCACTTACCATCTTGGCGTACTCTCTCCACAGTTCACTATGCAAGGCCTGTGATCATCCTGGGTCCCATGAAGGACAGAGTCAACGACGATCTGATCTCAGAGTTCCCACATAAATTTGGATCCTGTGTGCCACGTAAGAGCCCAGGAAGGCTGCGGCTGTGTGGTGTTGGTGTCCCAGGATTTGTCGCTCTGATGTGTTACAGAGAGGGTGTGGGGCCAGGTGGCAGGGCGCCATGGGAACAGGGTGCATCTCATACCCTCGAAGAGATGAGACTGCACTCAATTCCCCCAAACCTGATGGGATTGGGTGGGCTGAGGCGTTAGAGTGGCCCGCTTGCCCCCTTGGAGACATCTGAGTGCCGATGGTCAGGAATGGTGAGACGTGGGGGGCCCACCCCCATGGGTGTCCGCGTGACCTGTTAGGTTCTCTGGCTCTTGTGCCACCTTTGGCATCTGGGCCGGGCCTTGGATTGGGAAACCCCAGTTCAGTGGTCTAGGCAGAGCTAAATCAAATAGCCCCCTGTGTGTGAGACTTGGGGTTAGAGGACGAATAAGTGAGACAGACTTCTTCCCAGCTGCTTTTCCCCACTGATCAAGCCACTGGAGTGCTCGCCCAGCGCCCAGGTGACAGAGGACCAGGTGGGCTCTTTGGGCCCAGGGCAGGCCATCATCCTTGGGCTACACACACAGCCATTTTCTTTCTTCCTTCAGACACCACCCGGCCTCGGCGTGACAATGAGGTGGATGGCCAGGACTACCACTTTGTGGTGTCCCGAGAGCAAATGGAGAAGGATATTCAGGATAACAAGTTCATCGAGGCAGGCCAGTTCAATGACAATCTCTACGGGACCAGCATCCAGTCCGTGCGGGCAGTTGCAGAAAGGGTAAGGACGGGGGCTGGCCCTGCACAGTACGCACCGCTCATGGGGACACAGCTGCCCCTGCCCGGGTTCCCCTGCGCCCTTCGTGCTCCCAGCACGGGGCCTACCGAGCAAGGCCGGGCCTGCCATGCGTGGAAGTGTCTGCCTGTCTCCTCCACGCAGCTCACCCCAGAGGGCCACCGGCCTGAATAGGGACCCCACTGCAGGCCTGGCCTTCTCTGGGTAGTAGGAGCAAAATACGGAGCCTGGGTACCTCCGAGGCAGAATCTTTTAGGCCTCTCCGGGTTCCCCCCAGGGGCATGTTGAGGTTGCCACTGGCTGAGTGCCAGGGGTGGGCTGATGTGGGTCGTCGCTTTTCCAGGGCAAGCACTGCATCTTAGACGTTTCAGGCAACGCGATCAAGAGACTGCAGCAATCACAGCTTTACCCCATTGCCGTTTTCATCAAGCCTAAGTCCATCGAAGCACTTATGTAAGTATTCGCTGAGGCTCAGAGGCCCTCAGACGGGCGACAGAAAACGGATGGGTGGGGCTGCCGTCCACCCTGAGGGAAGCCCAGAGGGAGGTGTGCGGCCAGCTCTGGCACCGGAGGGCTCTGGTGTGAGTGCCCGTACTTGCGCTGTGTTCCAGGGAGGGCTTTTACACCTAGAAGGTTTGAGAAAAAGCGCAGCCATGAGCAATGTTGCTCTCGGGCAAGTGGGCCAGATTGCCATGGAGCCTGAACTAATTCTTTATATTCACCAGACACAGTCTCATTTGCTCCTATCCTCTTCTGTCTTTGGTAGGGAAATGAACCGACGGCAGACATATGAACAAGCAAATAAGATCTACGACAAAGCCGTGAAACTGGAGCAGGAATTCGGAGAGTACTTCACAGGTAAGGGGCCCGGCTGTGCGGTCCGAGCACATGGGGACAGCCGGCGCCTGTTGTCAGAGGGGCTCCCCGAGGCGTAGGCCCCTCGCACAGAGCTTCCGGGTGCTTCAGAGCTCGTACCTTGCCAAAGTACCCGCGTGGCCTGCAGCGTGCCACAGTGCTTCAGCCAGTGTATAGTATTCACCACCATCGCCAGACCCTGCCTTAGACGGCTTTGTTCTTTTCATCTTCATGTGCCTACTAGCATGCGGGCCCCCTGCATTTCTTCGGTACCCCCACATTCAGGACTTGGCCTTGCGCGTGTTAGGCGCTGAATAAACGTTTGTTGTCGATGATGATTCCTTGGTGTGGTGTTCACGTTGTCAGCGTGTGTATGCGCATGACTGCAGAGATCAGTACCTCAGGGGCCGGCTACGGGTCCATGTACTGTCGCCGTGCGGTGACAGGGATGTGCAGGCTGGTGTAGAGTACAGCCTAGCTGGGTTGCTACTAGGTTAACTGGGACAGAATCCATAAGTGCCATCTCCTCCCTGGGGTTTCGGAGCCCCCTTTCCTGTGAGCATGTGTGTCCTTGTGTGCCAGGCTGACCTCTGACAGAGAGCAGATGTGACAGCCCTAGGAGCACCACCCCTTGCCAGAAATTGTGGCTTCCAGCTCTTTCTCTGGGTAACCGGGATTTCCCCAGCCTTCTGGTTACAGCTGCGAGCTGTGGTGTCCAGTGGGCGCTCGGTCAAAGTCTTATGAGCAATACATTTTCCTGTTCGTTGCTACTTAATCTCTGCAGATTGATCTCAAGCCCTGGGCTTGGAGTGCCTGCCAGTTCCCCTTGCTGTCCTAGGCTCACAGATAGTGGCCCAGTGACACTGGTCCCCACGGCCCTGCGGGCGCTATGGGTGCTGCGGGCACGGCTCCGCGCTAGGCTTGTTGGGTAGGCTTGTTGCGGGTTGGCGGGTACTGTGGGCCACAGTAATAATTCTGTTTTTCTCTTCCCTTTAGCCATTGTACAGGGTGACTCACTGGAAGAGATTTATAACAAAATCAAACAAATCATTGAGGACCAGTCTGGGCACTACATTTGGGTCCCGTCCCCTGAAAAACTCTGAAGAAGCCCCTCTGCCCTTTCTCCTGTGAACAGAAGAAACCAACCCCTGTTCCCTCCTCCCTCTTCATTCCTGTCCCCACGGGGAGAACAAATGACTACTGTTCTTGCCCCCTTTTTTAGATATGTCAAAAAAAAAATTGAGTTTTCTAGTCCTGTTCTGTTTTTTTAAATTTTCGTTTTGTTTGAGTTTATTTTGGGGGGGATGATGCCATCTCACTCATCACGTGACTGTGCCCATTCCTGCATGGACCTTTCCCAAGCACTAGCACAGGTGCAAATCCATCAGAGTCATTGTTTCCATAACAGTCAAGCAGAAGCGAAGAGAAGAGAGGAGGACTGATGGACAGACAGGCTCTGGACAGCTGCACGGCTTTGAAGGGAGCTCAGCGCAGCCCGTGACCAGGCGCTCCGGGCACCTCCGCCCATCTGCTCTGCTGTCATGCGGCTCTGAACGGTGCAACGCCATGGCGACAGAAAGTATCTTATTTATATACAGATATATATATGTAATTTATCTAAAATATATAGAAATTATTATATATATATATTATACACTCTCATATAATATATATATATATCTCACACACCTTTGGACTAGAAAATCTATGGAGACTTCATCAATGGTACTGTGTTATTAGAGAAATGCTTTAATTTTCATATTCCAATCAGATGGCATCTTATATCCCAACTGGTTGGGGAGGGATTGAGAGTGGTAGGAAGTGCTGTACCAAGGGCACGCGCGCTTGGTCATTCTCTTGAGAGCTGGGGTTTTCTCCGGAGGGGCCAGCCGGAGGCCTGCGAGGAAGGGCTTTGGCCTGGGGTGGGGGGGGGGCTGCACACCTGACCGTGAAGCTGCTGCTGCCGTCACGGCGCAGCCAGTGCTGTGTATGGAAAGAGAGAATGGCTAATGATGCTCCATATTAAATTGCCTATTGTTTTATGCCACCTGATGTGTCTGCATGAGAGATTTCCTTTTTGTTCATTTTTAAGCTGCTGTTAAACCAAAACCATGTTGTGCTACTGTGTCGGCCTTTTCATTATTCCCAGTTTTACTTTTACTATTTAAGTGAATGCGTAGAACCCAGTTTGACAGTGTCCGAAAGGCTTGTGACGTGGAGTTGCCGGGCCTTGTGGGCCCGAAGGTGACCCAGTCTGCATGAGCGGCGGCGCAGGAAGTGGGGGCTGGGGAGCACCAAGTGCAGGACCCAGGGCTGCTTATCGCAATGTGGCCCTTTACTCCCTTGCCTGGGACGTGGTGGGCTCAGCTGAGCCCCCTCCATGGGGCCCCCCGACAGGGACAGGGAGTTGCTTGCCTTCCAGTTGTGTGCTGGGACAGCGGGACAGCACCGAGTTTGGCCAGCCCTCTAATGAGAAGTTTGATTTGGTTTTCTGCACAGCCGCTTCCATAGGCCCTACCCCGACCCCTCACCAACAGCTGGTAACTTACAGCTTCTTCAAGGAGGATGCAGACTTCCGTGCTCTTCGTCTGAGCTGTAGAGCCAAGACTCACTGGCGAGATGTGAACGCTTGTTGCCCTTTCCCACAATGAGATGGCGGTGATTGTGGGCAAGGGAGTTTTGCCTTGACCACAAATGCAGGCAACAGCTGTGGCTCAGGCCCCACCCTGCTGGGCTCCTTTGAAGCCACCATGCCTCCATCACCTCCACAGTGCGGGCATGACACAGCGGAGAGAAGTGTAGACGCGCTCGGCCCCTTAGGGTCGGCTCTGTTGTTTCCCAGGCCACTGTGATATGTCTGAACAGTGCGAATGACGCCATGTTGAAGACACTTGGAGTGCTGCCAGCCAAACTGAGGAAGTTTAGTAACAGTTCTCCCACCAGCACAGTGAGGGCGGCTGTAGGGGGCGGGGCCCAGGATGAGGGTAAAGAAAGGGCAGCAGCCTCACCTGGGCAGCGCGCTGGGTGGAAAGCAGCAAGAGGTGAAGTGGCGGTCGATTGGGACTGGTGAGGAGGGGCGGGCCGGGCGTGCCAATTTCTCTGATGTGAAGTAAGTGATGTAAATGGGGACGATGCTCAGCCCTCTGCCCCTCCCAGGGAAGCAGAGATTCCAAGTAAGCATGACACTAGTTGGTTTACCAGTGTTCCTTCCAAGGAGACATATATTTTTTAATAAACGATAGTTGCAATGAACTGTGGCTCGGAGACCTTCTTGAAGGAGGTGGGAAGGGAGGGCCGGAGTCGTGGCAGTGGGGACATGTAGCAGACCTTTGGGGGCCAAAAGGCTGACTGGTTAGCATCAGCTGGCCAAGTCAGGTGTTCCTCTGGATGGTTCTAGACCCCTATGGACATAGCTGGTCCTTTATGAAAGTTATATCCTCAGTCTTCCACCCCTGAGCCCAAAGCGCTGCTTCAAATGGCACCAACGGGGAGTCTGGAAAGGGGTTGCCACATCCTTGGTGGTGAAATGCTGACATTTTCCCCAAAGGCACACAAGATAGGAGACGCCTGCTGCAGCAGAGAGGTTTGTTTGAGAGCAAGAGCCAGGTTAGCAGCAGAACTGAGTCAGGAACATGGTGAGGAAAAGCTGGCTGCCAGCTCCCCATGTTCCCAGAAAGCATTGACTGCTCAGGAGAAAATAGGGGAGGAGGCATTTGGGGACCAGAGGAGGCCGTGGCGTGCAGTGCCGGGTGGCCTCCTACAGCTTTCCAATGAGAGGAGGTGTGTTCAGGTCACGTATTTATGCCATAGTTGTCACTGCAACTTGCGGGGAGAAGCCCGAAGAAGTACTGTCTTATTAAGGTCAAGAGCGGCAAGTGACTGAGCAACCCCAATGTGTGTGGGCTGGGCTGCACCAAGGACGATGAGCCTTTACAATTTGCAGGGCACTTCCTTTCACAGATCTTTAAGTTATTAATAAGACACTGATAGGGTGATGCTAATGACTATACAAAATATTTGTACAGGTACAAATGACCAACTTTACCTGCAGATGAAAGTACTTCTAGAAATTAGCTAATAAAAGCAAAATCTTTAGCCCTGACCCGTGTGGCTGTTGGGTGTTGTCTTGCAAACCAAAACGTCACTGGTTTGATTCCCAGTCAGGGAACATGCCTGGGTTGAGGGCCAGGTCCCCGATTCGGGGCGTGTGAGAACCAGTTGATGTTTCTCTCCCTCCCTCCCTTCCCCTCCTTTAAAAACATTAAAAAAAACAAAAAGCAAAACCTTTATCCAAATGTGTGGAAGTTGTGCTCAAGGATGAACCTAATAATAATGGCTGCAGAAGAAAGAGGGAATTGAGCTGCAGAACTGGGAAGAGACTGGAACAAAAAATGATGGGGTTGAAAAGGGTCCCAGGCACCAGCAGAGGGGTCAATAGTAAAGGACAATGGAGCCCTTTCCACAGGGATGGAGAACGGCTAGAAGGCCGAGATGTCAGAAAACCTTGTAGAAATGAGCTGAGTGGGTGTTCAGAGAACTGTTATGTTTCTCAAGGTCATTCGAGGACAGTGCTGGCTTTACTCCCTGGTCGGGTGGCTCCATTGGTTGGAGCATCGTCAGCACGTTCAGCAAAATGTTGTGGGTTTGATCTCCAGTCTGGGCACATTCCTGAGTTGCAGGTTTGTTTCCTGCTTGGGGCCCCATGGGAGGCAACAGAACAATGTTTCTCTCTCCCCCTCTGTCTCTGTTTCTAGAATCAATAAATATTTTAAAAAATAATTTTTAAAAAGAGTGCTGGGGTTAGCAGTGCACCTAGGTGCCCGATGAGCCCTTTGCAGTTTGGCAGTACTGAGTCAGCCTCAGTCTCCCCAAGTTTTGTCCTCTGTCCTTGTTCCCATGTAGGATTTTATGGCCCCAATTCCATTAATCCTTTTATCCATTCAGTCAGCTCCTTGTCACCTCTTGGCTATTTTATTATCACCGCAAATAACTTTCTGAGGCTCAAAATCCAATTTCCTCAAAAGCCTCTGTCTTCCCCCATCACTTCCTAGAAATAGCTGAACTGGCTGCTGTGCACCTTGGTCCATCTCGGCGAATAGAGTGTGGGAGCGCCAGCCTTGCCTGAGTCTGCACCGAGGGGCTTCAGCGGGCTCTGCAGAGCCGCATCCTGTGTCAGCATGACGCCCATTGGGGCTTTCCGCATTCGGCCGAGTGAACCAGCTGCATGCCCGAGCTCTCCCCTGTCCCTGGCACTCTAACCAGAAGGGCCCAGCACACTTGCAGGGACTGGAAAGGGGGTGGTTTGAAAAGAAGAGTTCAGACCTGCCTGCTCGCAGTGAAGAGTCTGTACTAGAGCATGTTCTTCTGACTGGCTTCTTGTGCCCACAATCATCCCTGACTTAGCAGACAGAACCTGCCATCTAAAGCACTCTCCCCCTCCCTTGAGGCGCTGTTACCTATGGGAGGAAAATCCAAGCTCCTTAGCATGGCCTTCCTGTCCTGCTGGATCATCTCTTGCTGTGTCCCCATTGTGCTCCGGGGCAGGAGTTCCCTCAATGCACCACAATCCTATGTCTTTGTTTACTTTTTGTTTTTAATGAGAGAGGGGAAGGGAAGGGAAGGGGAGGGAGAGAAACATTGACTGGTTGCCTTTCTTATATGCCCCAAGCAGGGGTCAAACCCACAACCCAGGCATGTGCCCTGACTGGGATTTGAACCAGTGACCTTTGGCTTTGAGGGACAGTACCCAACCCACCGAGCCACAGCAGCCAGGGTTTCTCATACTTCTTTTTATGCCCATAAAATGCCCTCGCTGCCACTCCATCTTGCTTACCTGGAAAGCTCTTCTTAATGTTTTAACACTTGATTCAAGAATTCTCCTCCTTCTAATCTACCTTTCTTGAAGCACCTCCTCTTCCCTCCCACTCTGGGTCAAACTGGCAGTTCAGTTGTCTGTGCTCTATTAGGCCATAGAAGAATGTTTGTCATTGTAACATGCTTACTACATTGACAGACAATACTAAGTGCTTCATGCATTTTAAGTCACTTGTTGCCAAAACAGCCCTACGAGGTAGGTGCTCTTATCCTTATGTTCCAGATAAGGAAACTGAGGCACAAGAGGGTCCCACAGCTAACAGTGGGCTGCCCATCAAACAGAGGCTATTTGGCTGCAGTAGCTGTGCTCCTAATGGCTGCGCTGTGCTGCCTGTCACTTTGCCACACTTGGAAGGTTTTATTGCCGCCGCCTCTTTACATGTGTCTCCTTCTCCTTGACTCCAGCATTTAGCGCAGTATCTGTCACATAGGCAGTCCCTAGGAAAAGGGATGGGATGCACTAATCCTTGGCTCCGGCTCGGATGGCAGAGATTGGACTAGGCTCAAACCTGTGGTGAAAGTGACTTTTTTGTTGCTTTTACGGAGAGCTTCCATTCTGGAGTCCCTGTAGTTTCCTCTGGGCCCTTGCTCCATTAATGATGACTCCTTCTCATCGCCACCCACGTCTGCCCCTTTAGCTCCTCCCCCCTTTTTCCCTCTGCTGTCTTCCCCGCAAGAACTGCTCTGCCCGCCCTCACTGACCATCCTTGTGTTCATTCAACTCAAGTTCACTGAATGCCCACAGCTCTTGAGGGCAGCCCAGCCCTCCCACAGACGGCATTCACAGAGTCCTTTCTCAGCCTTAAGGGCACAGACACATGAAAAGGCCACGTCCCCACTCTCACCTGTGACTTCTCTTTGGACCACTTCCTCTTTTCCTTGACTCCTTCCCTCCTTCTTCTCCCAACCTTCCAAGTGCCACCATTTTCCTAGTCACCCCGCCCCCAACCTGAAACCTGATTCCTCTCCTTTGGCCATCACATCCAATCTCCTGGCAAAGCTTGCTGGTTCTTTCTAATGGCTCTGCACTTTTATCCTTTGTTTTCGTTACCACCGCCCCTACACCACTGAGTGGGCACTTGGCAATGGGCATTGTGCTTGGTGCACATCCAGCGAAGGCAGCGCTGTTTTCGAGGACCTTACAGTCTAAAGGGGGGAACAACAGACAAGTAAACGACTGAGGATGTAGTTACACATTCTGCTACATGCTGTGAAGGAAATAAACAGGAGGCAGTGACAGGGGGTGACATAGTAAGGGGACCTGCTTTGAGAATGTGCCTAGAGAAGGCTTCTGTGAGGAGGGGACATTCTGGGCGAGACCTGGAAGGTGAGATGAGCCCAGTGCGGGGCGGGGCGTGAGCCGTGGGGGAGGGAGGGAGAGAACATCCTCCACGGGCCCCCTCTCCTTTTCCGGCCTCCTGGCCTTTTTGCCTGTGACCGAGGGGAACGTGGCGGGCCTCATCTCTGTGAGCCCCTTACACTCCAGCTCAAATGCCACTTTCCATGATGTCACTGGTCACTGCCTTCCCCTCTTGTGTACCACTCTAGCAGGTCAGACTGCACTTTCTCTGTTCTTATTTTCTGGCATGGACGCTATTTGTCCAGAATGTACTTCTTCAACTAAGGGAAAACTTCTAGAGGCTTGTGACTGCGTCCAGTGTGTACCCTCAAAGCAGCTCATACATGCCAGAGGCCCAATAAATGATTGTTGAATGACCCTCCCCTTCCTGGATTTCACAATCTTAATCTAAAACACGAGGAATTTGTACAGAGAATCTCTCTAAGACCTCTTCCTTTGATGATAAAACTGATGATGAAATAGAATTCTGAAGGATTTGTATGCTGCCGCCTGCCCCCCGCCCAAGACAGCTCATGCCTTTGCAAATTTTCCTTTCAAAACAACAAGCGAACAGCGATGCCGACAACATAGAAGGTTTAAATGCTGCTGTCAGAGAGCATGGCACGTGAACACATACAGTTGATACACACTGAAACATTACACGCACACACGGGCTAGGCGCATGCTGTGCGGGAGCACAAGATCTACAGGAGATGGATGGACAAGGAGAGTTGGACAGATGAGTAGGATTCTAGGACAATTTGTTTAAAACGCAGAAGATGCCCTGGCTGGAGTGGCTCAATGGACTGAGCGCCGGTCTGCAAACTGAAAGGTCACAGGTTCGATTCCCAGTCAGGGCACACGCCTGGGTTGTGGGCCAGGTCTCCAGTGGGGGACATTTGAGAGGCAACCACATAGTGATGGTTCTCTCCCTCCCTTCCCCTCTCTCTAAAAATAAACATAAAATCTTTAAAAAAATAAAACACAGAAAGTGT